CACACACACACACACACACACACACACACACACACACACACACACACCCCAGCCGTGTAACATTAAATATGTCCTTACGTGGATCTAGTTTTTTCTATCTGCAGAAAAGGGTGCTCACTATGGCATCTTTTGTCCCTGGAGCACAGATTTAGAACCAAAGAGTTGTGTGAGATTATCTCATCTTTTTATCAGTGAAGAAACTAAGACCCCTTTGAGCTCTAAATTTTCGATCCTAATACACTGATATGAAATATAGCACTTCTTGTCATTAAGTTTCAGGAAATGAAAATAACTGTATGACTGAAAATTTAAGTTCAAGGCTGGAAAGTGATTGGTAACCAGAGCCAATACCCAGCTTCATTTCCTAGTTTGTAGAAAACTATTCTACAAGACTCCAATAGCCATTTAGGGAGAAAAGCAATGGAAAATGTGACATGGTTGTTCTAGGGCACAATTAACTCCCAAATAAACTAAGACGGGAAAAGAAAAAATAAACCAATATACCAGGAGAGGGAAAAAAAGCAAAAACGTAACTAATATGACAGACAGCCTGATATAATGGGAAGACTGCTGAATAAAAATGCTGAGTCTGAAGTCAAATGGCCTGGGTTCAAATCCCAGCTCTGTCATTTATTTGCTGAGGTGACCTAGTCTGACCTGTGACTCAGTTTCCCCATCTGTAAAATGAAAGGGTTGAACTAAATGACTTCTAAGGTCCTTTCCAACTCTATACCTATGATATCTCTTAGTATTAAAAGACCATTGAGGGAGTAGTAAATAAAAATTCTAAAAAAGCAAAATTTTCTATCTTTCGATAAATGTATTTTTAACCATTTACCTTCAGATGGGTTTTGGCATGTACTTTCTAAAGCACCCTTTCCAAATGAGGGTCACTTATCTTGGACACCAAGCTTAATGATTTGGGTAAGCTAAATAAAAATGTACAACCCTTTTCAGCAAGATGGCAGAACATTTTTTTTTATCTTTAAAATTAACTGTACAGATCACAGAATCATATATATACGACATTGGAAGGGACTTGGGGGTCATCCAGTCCAGCCCTCTCATTTTGCAGAGGAGGAAACTGAGGCTCTCGGAAAGATTTGCCCAAGGTTCCCTGGAACAATCAGTAGCAAAGCTGGACCACCGGACTCCTGACCCAGGATTCTTCTCACTACGTCAAGCTGCCTCTCAAATCAAAGTAAAAGAGAAGAGTGAGGCTCAAGTGGCAAAGCATTTAGTAAGCTCCTACGATACTCTGAAGGCTGGTATGACTTGCCCAAGGTCACATAAGCAATTATAAGGACCAGGGGCAGCACTGGAACCCAGATTCAGATTCTCAGACCTCAAATCCATCAGTCTTCTCACTGTACTCTGCGAGGCGCGGTTCAATGGAAAAGGGGCTCCCTGAACAAGGGGTCCTGAGTTCCAATCCCGCCTCCACCTGGTCGGACAAGAGCAAAGCCATCCGCCCGGGGGAAAGGCAGGTTTGGCCGGGATGGCCAGCTGCAACCCAAGGTCCCGGGCTTGGGCTCGCCGCGTGTCCGAGTGGTGGAGGGCGGGTTGGGGGTTGTCCACCCCCCACCCCCGCCGTGGGGCGGAGGGCCCCCGTGGGCATACAGCAGGAGCCTAATGGGTGCCCGGGGGCGGAGGGGCGAGAGACCTCCGGGCCCGGGAGCAGCCGAAGCGGGCGAGAGAAAGGAAGCGGCGGCGGCGGCGGCGGGGCCGGCAACGGCCGAGGGTCGGCGGCGCGCGCAGGAAGCCGCGACATCCTGCCCCTCCCACCGGCCGACCCCGCTCCCGAGCGGCCCGGCCCGCGCCCCCGCCCCGTCCGGCCCCGCCCCGCGCCCACCACGAGGCCGCGGTCGTGGCCTGCGCTCCCCGGCGGGCGGGGCGAGGCGGGGCCGCCGGGCCTGCCAGCCCCGAGGGGAGCCGCGGAGCCTGCGCCCGCCGCCCCTGCAGCCCGGCCGCCGCCCCGGCCGCCGGCCGCCCCGCAGCCCCGGCCCTCGCTTACAGATTTTGCCGCGCAGGCTCTGAAGCACGCGGACCTCCGTGTCGCTGGCCTCGGCCACAGCGCCGTTCGCCGCCGCCGCCGCCGCCTCACTGAGAGGAGCTGCCGCCGCCATAGCGCTGCCCGGGCCCCGCCGCCGCCTGCGTAGCCCGGAGAGGCCTGGCAGGGAGGAGGCGGGACCGAGGCAGGGCGGGCCCAATCCCGAGCCGCGGCTCCGCCCCCCGCCCCCGCCGCGAGGGCCATCACCCTCCGGCCCCGCCCTCCTCCTGGCCACGCCCCCGTCGCCTCGCCCCCGTCCCTCCCTCGGCCACGCCCAGCCCGAAAGCGCCCTGGGCTCCTCTGCGCCCCGCCGGGCGCGGGGAGCGCGGGGCGTCCCGCGGTCGCTCTCTCCTGGTGGGGGGTGAGGGCGAAAATCCCCGACTGAGACGCCCCCAGACCCATCCAGGGCTTCTGTGATGGGTAAAGTGTCCTTATTGAACCCCCAGGCGACCCCTCCTGGCGAGACCACTCTTCTTGGACAATCTCTGGGGGCTCGCCCATTTCTCCGTCCTCCGTGGGAATAACTGCGTGGGGGGCGGAGGGGGGCCGCCCTCGGGAGGAGTATGGGACTGTGCCTGGCACATAGTAGGTGCTTAATAAGCGCTTATTTAATAGGATTGGATTCTTTGGAAGCGCTGATAAATAGACTGGAAGCCCTAGTAGGCTCTTAATAAATTCTCGTTGATCAATTGGTGTGATTATTAGTGGCACTAGATTCTACAATGCTTAGACTGAAAATACACAAAGCCTGCCTCAGCCGCTTGGGAAACCCTAGACTGGTTACTTCACATTTCCGGCTGGTTCCGTATCTGTAAGATGACCACGATGATAGAGGCCAGATCACAATGTTGTGAGGGTCAAGTGATATTAGATAGAGATAGAGACCCATGGGTAGGTGACAGATAGATGCAGACATCTATAGATGTAGATATCTTTTTGTTTAGTCCTTTTTCAGTCATAACCAACTCTTCATGACCCCATTGGGGTTTTCTTGGCAAAGATACTGGAGTGGTTTGTCATTTCCTCTAGCTCATTTTACAGATGAGGAAACTGAGGCAGACAGGGTTAAGTGACTTGCCCTGGGTCACAGAGCTAGTGGTGTCTGAGGCTGGATTTGAAGTCGGGTCTTCTTGACCCCAGGCCCAGGCATCTATCCACTGTGCCAACCTAGCTGCTGCTGTATGTGTGTGGTGCTATAACCTTGAAAACCTTAAAGTACTATGAAAATGCTATCTGTTGTTATGATGGAAACTTCATTGATGAAAATTAACAATTGTAACATAATCATAGAGCTTTTCCTAGGGCAAAGAAAGCAGTGGATTTTGGTCATAGTCACAGGCCTATTGTTTTTCCTTCTAGAAGACCAATGACATGGGGTGATGCCTTGACTTGCCCTTGAAGTGGAGTTAAGTGAGGCAGAGTTCCACAAAGTGGTCAGCATCAGGCTTTCTTCCAGTCATCAAAGTCTAGTGGCAAGGTAACAGTCAAGATGACTTGTGATGGCCCTGGATGCAGTGGATGACCTTGGTGTCTTCTATGTCTAACCAAGCTCAAAGTGCTTCACTGTACTTGCTTCAGCCACCTTCGTGGCCATTAAAACAAATTGTCTTCATGTGCTTGGGAAGACATTCCACCACCACCACCACCCTTCCCCCACCAAGCACCAATGGGTTTGAGGCCTCTTGGCTACCCTCAACCTGATTTAGTCTGCCTACTGTCCCTTCTAGAGGTAGAATTGAACCAAAGCCTTCCTGACCCTCTATTTACATACCCACACTTCCTTTCAGATAGAAATATACACTTAGATGGGGAAGGGCCTTTAAAGGCCATTTGGCCCAACTTTCTCATTTGTAGATAAACAGACCAGAAAAGTTAGTTGACTTGTCCAAGTTGACACGGGGAAAAGCTGGGGATTTTTAACTCAGGTCCTTTGATGCTCAATTGGCTTTAAAAAAAAAAAAAGACATTAATATTATTATGGTGGTGAGAAGTTCAGGTTCTCAAAGCATTTCCCCCCCATTTTTCCTTGTTAAAATGTATTTTTTCAAGTGATTCTCAGATAAGACCACATAACATCCAGTAATATGTTGAATCAAATTGGCTCACTCACATCATCTGTTTTCGGGATGTAAAGTTTAACTGTAACTTTGAGATTTCTTTAATCAAGCTTATTTGTCATCAGTATCTGTTCAAATTGTGGAAATTCTTCCCAAGAGAAATGCTTCCTACAATTTGAAATTTCTAAAAAGTAAATTTTTAAAAGTTTAATTTCTTTTTTCCCATTTTACTAAAGATATCAAAAGTTTTATTCAAAGTGACATTTCATTTTTTGCTCTTTCTTACAGGCAGTTTTCCCAATTATCATATCTGGTTTCTGGATTATCTTAGTAAATTTCATTGCTTAAAAAAAAGCCATCTGTTGAGGTAACATGTAAAGAATTTTTTAAAATGATAAAAAGTGATATAATTATATATGTATATATACACATATGTGTGTATATATACATATGAATGCTAGTTATTTTTTATATACCTTGTATTTACTTACCGTGAACAGGTTGTAGTTTCCTTTTCTCCAAAAATGCAAGTTCCTTGAGGGGAGGGGAGGATCTATTTCGCTTTTCTATTTGTATCCCCTAGCTGGGTGGCCCAGTAGACAGTGTACTGGACCTGGATTCAGAAAGACCTTAGTTCTAATCCAGCCTCAGATGCTTACTAGCTGTGTGGCCCAGAGCAAGTCACTTAACCACTCCTGTCTGCCCCAATTTCCTCATCTATAAAACAAGGATGATACTAGAACCCACCTAACAATTTGTTAATTGCTCTGGAAACTTTAGAGCACCATATAAATGCTAGCTATTAGTGTTATATCTATTACAACACCTCATGTCACATGGTAGGCTCTTAATAAATGCTTGTTGATTGATCATTTGCCACCCAGAAATTCATATTCTTCCATTATTTGAAGTCATATCTAATTGATCCCTGTGTGCAAATCTTTGTCACTTAACTTTCTATTAGTGCTACTGAACTACTTCAGTGATAGTAAATTTAACAATCCATTAGTATATTCTTTTAAAATTAGGCTTCTGAAAGCTAATTAATTTAATTACAACATAATTAGGAAAATAAGACATATCCCAAACCCTTTATTGCATTCCCCATTGTCTTTAAATTCTTCTAGAGTTCTGTCATTTCTTCATGCTCTTTGGTAACTGGAACAATATTGCATCATCAGCTTTGCAATCAACTTCCTTCCCCAAATCATTAATGAATGTACTTAAAGACCATTGGTCTCCATTCTGATGAGCAACCATTCATTACTACTCCTTTTCCTATTTCCTAACTTGCTTTTAAGCCATTCAGTAAGTTTAACCCCATCCTGTGCTTTTGTTATGCACAAATATTTAAGAAAATTGTACTGATTCCTAACAATCCATATACTCATTGCATAATAGAAACTGGGATTTTATTTCAGTTTATCACACCCTTTGAACTCTGCCCACTAACATGTACTGCACAGCCACTCCATCATCACCTCCATTCTCTGCATTATTTATTTCCTTACTTTCAAAGAATATTATTTTCAAAGGAGACAAATAACTCAGGGAAAGAGAAGAGTTCTTAATTTTGGTATTCAAATATGTTATTTGTAGGGCTGTGTACTAATAGTAGAAAACTGCTGTTCCTCTCCTCTCCTTCTTCCCACCTAAATGTTCCCACTCCCCAGGGCCTTGTTGGCCTTGGCCTTCCATCTCTAGCAATTTAATGAGCATAATTTAAGTATTGCTCTTCTGTAAATCTAACTCTCCAATCCCAGAGTTCCATTTTTCCTCCCGACTTCCTTCTGGATATCTCTACATCTACTTTGCACTGAGTGCAAAGCTGAACTCATCACCTGCCCAAACCTGTCCGTCCTCCTAACTTCCCTATTTTTTGGTGGTACCACCATTCTCTCAGACATCCCTTGCAAGAAACTTCATTATCATAATTTACTTTTCCCCCTCTCTCATCCCCCTATCATCACTTCATTTACTAAGCCTGTGGATTCTGCCTTCCCAGGCTCTTCGATTTGTCCCTTCCTTTCCACTTTCAATGCAGCTACACCAACTTAGGCCGTCATCAATTATTGCCTGGACCATTCTAAAAACCACCTGTAGTCATTTCCCTCTCCACTCTGCTTAATTCACCAATCAACCTTATCATCAATCAGTCAATAAGCCTTTGAGTTACTGTGTGCCAGGCACTTTGCCTTAGCATAGTGCTAGGGATACCAATACAGAGAATGAACATAGAATTTCACTGCTGGAAACTCCTCAATGGTTCCCCATTGACTATAAAATAACAGGTAAACTTAATCTGGCCTTCAATGCCTTCAACAAATTGGCTAACACCTAACTTGCAACCTTGTTTCACAAGACTCTTCTTTAATAAACTCAGACTAATTCTAGCAAAACAACATCCTCCATTCTCTTCTTGTCCTCTTTGTTTTCACTGGATCCCTTCTTACCAGATGTGAATGAGGCACTTTCTTTATCATTTTAGATTCATAAGCTCATACCATCATAAGAAGTTAAGACTGGAAGGGACCTTGGAGGTCATCCCATCTAATCCACTCATTTTCCTGATGAAGGAACTTCAGCCGAATGGCTGAAAAGGGACCTTGATAAACTGACTAATTTAGTAGTTTCAACCTCTATTCAGCAACAACCTGTAAATTGAAAATGTGTTCTGTCAGCCTTGTTAGTTTAACCATGTGCCATTAAGAAATATGCTTCAAAGGGCAGCTAGGTGGAGCAGTGGATAGAGCACCAGTGCTGGAGTCAGGAGGACCTGAGTTCAAATATGGCCTCAGACATATAACACTCACTAGCTGTGTGACTCTGGGCAAGTCACTTAACCCCAATTGCCTCACCAGAAAAAAAATAAACCAACCAAACAAAAAAAGAATAAGAAATATGCTTCATCTACTTGGGTCAGTGCCACCTGCACCTTAGCAGGAGAGTGCAACATTAAAAGCCAGGAAATAGGCAAACACCATGAGCAGAAGCAGAAGTGGACAATGACCATAGATTC